CAAAGGCCAGGGACTGGAACCCTTCTATGGTCTTGACAGTGTGAATTCAGTGCATTTCCCACTAGGAGACCTTGCCTTCGAAATGGATCATTTTTAAGGGTTTCATCTGAAGAAAAGCCTGAAATGCTAAAGCAAGACTTCATCACTTCTTTGCAGCTTCTTTTTCTTACATCCGTCAATGCATGTGGCTTTCTTTACTAGATTGTTTGTGGCGTGCAAAATCAATCTTGCAGGAACAACTCCATATTAAATAGAAAAATAAAAGCAGTGTTAATGTTTCCTGGATATATACTGCTTATGCTGTAAAATGTTGGAGCTAGACATGTAGCTGCAAGTTAAATATCTCAAGATAAATTAAACCAAATCTCTTACAAATACAAGTCTTTTCAGTAGCAGATATTACAACTGAATTCTTTCTACTTTTTCAGCTGCTTCTAATGATTTTTCTGGGAATTTTTTTATGCAATCAGGCCCAAATTCTGTCCCTGGGGTCTCTAAATAAAGCTCTCTAGGGAGACAGCATGCCACCTGTTCCTCTAGTAGCTGCACCAAAGTGGTGAAAATGTTTGCTTATTCTGGTCTCTTTGCTGTATAACAAGGTGCTTATGAAGGCAAGAAGGTTCAGCAAATTTAAGTGCTTTACATTTTGAGGACAAGCTGTCTCTGTCAGCACTGTTTTATTTACAGCTCTGTTTCACTGACTATATGCAAAACCTGCTTCAAGACAGATATACCTATAAAGAGGTCATGTTATGGAGTCAGAAATAGATAAGCTTTGTGGTTTATATACTTTGGCAGCTATGAAGCAATGGTGAAGTTGCAAATAGGAAAGACATACACAAAAACCAAAATTTTAATAAGCCCATATGCATTCTGAGTTTGGGGAGTCCAGTTCTGCTGATGAGCTGTCAGTGTTCCTGTCACAGATATTGCTTGAATTTTTTCCTTTTTACCTTATTTTAATCTAGTATTTTGATGGCAAATGGGCAACAAAAGGCACACAAGAAAGTCTGAACTTTATTCTTACAGAAGGAAAAACATTAAATGCAAAATTTTAAGATTTTGTGGCCAGAAGACCATACAACAAAGTCTCCAAGCATCTGTAATGGCTAGAAATAGAAGACTGGGATGCCATACTCCAGGAGTTCATGTGAGGTTATTGTGTGATCTTGTGTAAGAAGGGTATATACTGTGTCTATATACATATATACATATTTGACATGGTATTTTTGTGCTAGCATACTGTCCTGGTAAGCCTGATGTACCTAATCTGTTCTACCTGTAAAAGCTGTGAATGCAGTGTGCGATACAGTCACTGTACTGTGTCGTTGTCCTTGCACTATGGCTGAGGCAGTGCAGAGGGTAGAGTTAAAGGTGAGGCTTTTCTACACCCAAAACGTAGGCGTGGTGGCTGCCCTGCACCAGTGGGATAAACACGCAGTAGTGCCAGCTGGAGGCGTACTGGCCCTTGCACAAGGAGCTTTCTCCATCTCCTCCATCCCGCCCCGAAATCTGTAATTGCATCACATGCAAGGGGGAAATTTGCCCTGGAGGCATTCGTAGTAGGTTTCCCCGTGGATTCCTGTGCTGCGGCAGGACAGCATTAGCTCCCTGAGCTGTGGTCGCAGATGAGCACACACGGCTGCAGGACCATCATCACCCTCCCTGCCTCTGCCTGGGCTGTGCCGGCCCGCGCTGCCCGCACGCCTCGTCACAGCTCCCTTCTTCTCCCTCCGTGTCAGCTGAGCTCGGTGACTGTCGTGATTCCGTCAGGGCAGGAGGAGACGAAAAGGCAGCACAAGGCGTGATGCTGCCTGAAGCGCACTCTTAGCTCTGGACCACTGCCCATGGGGCAATAAAGTGCAGGGACAGCACTAGACACTACAAGATTTCATTCCTGCTTCTCAGATACTCATTCCCGGCAAGCAGCAATCCTGGAAAATGTGACGGTACTTTGTTGGCCATCCTTGTGTTGTCCCTCCCATTGCACAGCGCAGTACACAGCTCCACTGCCATGGCGTGGGCGTGCTGCTGCTCGGAGCCCGCTGCCAGGCGGGGGAGGCCGGAGCGAGGAGCTTCCCAGCATCGCATCCCGGGCTGGCTCGACTGCCGGCAGGCTCTGTGCGCTGTGACACTGGTGGCTGCAGCACGGAAGAATATGTATGAATGAATTCCAAAGGAGACACCGTCGAAGCTGGTGACTCGATCTGTAGCATCTTTTGCAGGAAAGGGTTAGTAAGACCTTAGCAGGAAAGTCTCCGATCAGAGTTAAACAAGTGTTCTGGCCAGTTAGGAAAAAGCAATGTGGTTTTGAGAAATGTCAGTCTCTTTCATGGCTAATGCTGAATTAGTGGGCTGTTCTGGGGCTTTTGCAATCGCATTGTCAGTAACAAATATAGTCAACAGGCATCCTTAGGGAGGTCTCAGCCTGGAGAATGGCGTTAGGAGAACGAGAGGTCATGTTCAGCTCCTGCTCACATTGCTGTTAGACAAGGAGTTTCACCTTTTTGTTAAAATATTTGTTAGACAGAAGTTACCCAGGAGAATATGTTGCAATTGACATTTTATGGACAGACGCTGTGTTGTTTTGCTTAGAGATGTCTACCAAATGAGAGAAAATGTTTTTTAAAGACTCCTAATAGCATTGCTGTCAAGCACTGATACACACAAAATTGGCTTGAACATCACTTACACACTTGGAATCATTACTAGCAGTGACCCCTTTAACTTATAAAATGTTCTCAAAGATCCTATAAATAGCCACATGTCTAATTTTAAACATAAGTAGTCTCTTATGCTAAGTGTTAAGCTTGTGTGTAGCTGTTATTAGAACTGGGGCTAGAAAGGTTAGTTTGTGCTTTGCAGACACAGTTCCTGGTCTCAGATGCAGCTCAGTCTTTCCGAAAGCTCTGCTGTTGGTGTGGTTGTGTTTTCAGGCTCCGATGGCTCTTATCAGCTGTGCCAGCTTCTGCAGCTCTTGGTGCTCCAAGCCAGGCAGGTCAGGGAGAGGCAACTGTTAAGCCTTGCTACCTTGAAATGCTTTCGATAGCGAGATCTGATTATGATGTGATCTACTTACCCAGAGATGAGCCTTGACTGGGGCTCCTGCTCTCTGTGCTGCAGCCAGGACTTGCCTTGGGAAAGCTACTGGTGTCTTGCAAGCGCAGGAATGTTTTGGGGACCTAAACTCCAGAGGTATGACATCCATGTGACATGTTTACCTGCTCAGGCCTTGTTTGGAAAAGTAGTTTGGGGTGTAGTGTGGTACTGAGATATTATTTGAAGTGTACTTTAGTCTTGTAGATGGGAATGTTTTGTTTATCAGGAAAACTCTGTTGCAGCTTTGGACATCATGATCATTTTGCCCCCCCCAAGGAGAGGGGGGGGCAAAATGATGCATCAATCAATATCATGTCTGCATCTGTAGACATGATATAAATACCCTGTGAAACCAAGTGGCTTTGCTACTCTCCCTCCTCTTGCAAATTTGTACTCAGCTCTGATTTGGTTACAGCTGTGATGATTTGGGTCTGATTACCAGGGGTGTTGTACTGAACACAGAGCTGGTTAGAGGTGGTAGAGCTGGGTCCCCAGGATCCCCTTTTGAAGAGATAAGCTTTGCATCTGAGCACTTTGAAATTGGGCTGAGGAATATTCTGGGCTGGGCTGATGAAGAGGCACAGAGAAGTGGGGGCTGGTCTTGGACCTGATGAGGTAGGGAAAGTATTGGGTTAAATCCAAACATGCCTGATCCTAGGGCCAGTTGCTAAGTGTTGCCAGATGGTAAGCATGGTTGCTGGCTGTCTCAGCCTCTTTAAGGCTGTGAAGCCAGGCTCTGAAGGCCTTTTCCCAGTCTCAGGTATTCTGGGGTGCAAGATGCGCCCATCACCATCAGCTCTGCGAAGAATTTAAGAGAAATTGAGCACTTGAAGGTCCGTCTGCCACAGTGGGGATGGTGGTAGCTGCAGCTATATCTCCCCTATATGGAAAAGACAGCAAAAATGGTAAGTTTGCAGCTGCTGTCTGGGGATATTTGTGCATGGGACAGCACCCAGAAATTCGCAGGTGAGAGATGCTCCTCCTGATTATTTGCTTAAAGGATGTTGGAAAGTTATTTCCATCCCTTCGGCTGAAGTCACCATTCACTATTGTGGCTCTACAGCAAGAGACTGGGGTATGGCTTAGGACATTTGCCATTTGAGTGACAGACTGGAAAAAATTTCTAACTTTGAGGTGTTGTTTTTTTTCTCCAGAGAGTAAGACTTTCTTAGTATATCTACCTACTACTGACCTTAGCAAAATGAGAGCAGTTTTCCTTGTACATGCCAGAGCTTGGGAAATAAAAACCGTGATGCATAGAAAATCAGTCATCAGAAAGATGACTTAGTAACTGAGAAGGACTTGAGAGCTACATGTGGTTTTGGATTATTTTAAAGTTATTAGAACTGCCTCACTATGCTTCTGCACTACATGAAACCTGCACGTGTGTATACATACATATATGAATACCCTGTTAGCCTATGCTCATCTATACTTATATACATGTATGTGTATGTCATCTCAGAAACCAAAATAGAAGCAGGAAGCAGTGTTTCTGTATGGTTTAAAGCATGAGAAATATCCAGTTACAATTGTGTGTTTATAATCACTGTGCTCCTTAAGGAACCACGTGAACAGCCTCATTCTTCTATTGATGGCTGCGAGAAAACAAACAGGTTGTCACAACAAGTGTTCCTATCCAAGTCCTAAAATGGCTTCTGTAGCGTGAGGGTTTTGTGTCCAAATGTTTCTTCTGTTCTTGTTGAAGTGTCAGTTCTGAAGAAATACTGAAAATCTGGAACAAATCCAGTGCTTGTCCTCAGGGATGTTTGAAAATCCATGCAACTTCTGAAATTCACCCAGAACAGACAAAGGAAGGATGCTTGTGATTCACTGTTATTTTGAAAACAATCTGAGTTATAATTTCCATCATGTTTTTACTCTTCCCTTTTCCTTTCCAGGCAGTGAAGCTGATTTTAGCTCTTCAAGCAGCACGGGCAGTATTTCAGCACCTGAAGTCCATATGTCTGCTGCTGGAAGCAAAAGATCTTCTTTTTCTCGCAAGTAAGCAAAGCAATTTTTACTGAATATTGCCAGTATGAAGATAGACTACTGTGTAAGGTCTTGCATTTTAAAACAGTCAGGGTAGGACTAGGCTCTTGGGTAGCACACTGATGAGAACTGTGAAATAAGAAAGGAGAATTCTGTGTTTGGTGCACAAAAATTGTCCATATGCCAGATCAGCTGACTACTGGGGGTTTTTTGTGTATTCAAAACAAGTATAGGAGATACAACTAGGTAAGGAAGAGAAGGCATTGGCTGCAGTAGAGGAGAGAGCAACTGGGTTTATGTTAGTTAACAGCAGTACTTGTAGCCAGTTAATCTAAACCTTTTGGTCTTATCACTTTGTTTTATCTCTGCCATAAATTATCAGCTTGGCATACACCCTTGAGATCATGATCTCATTTTTTTTAGGAAGAAGTAGACAATATTGCCTTTGATGGTTTTTTGTTGGGTTGTTGGGGTTTTTTTCTGAAATACCCTTGCCCAACCTTTAGATAACCACAACTGTATGCAATTCTTTTTTTTTTAAATCATGTTTCTAAATGAACCTTTCATGAAAGATTTCTGTAAGATTTCTCCCTGTCGTGTGTGAATGGCAAATTCAGACAGCTTGCGAATACAGGGGCATTGGGATGGAGCAGCACACATTGTGTTCTGCCCCCGCAATCCCTGCTGGTTATATTTTGTGGAGTAGGAGGAAAGAGTTCAAATTGACAGGACTGGTTTCCTGCCCTTTGTGAAAGAGCTGGCAGGCAGCCTGGGACCGGCAGCGGGATACCCGTATGCTTGAGTCCCACAGACGTCTTCATGGTTGCAATGTGCCCCAGCATACAGAGATTGTCAGAATGATGCTTAATGAGTGGTTTCCTATCTGTATCATGAGACTGCTAGAAAAATAAACATTACTTACGCTCTCTCTAGATTACATCTAATAAGTAAAGTTACTGGCTATGGGAAAAAAATGGTACTAAGTATAATCTGAAGCCCTAAAATCACCTTACCTCAGTAAGATTAATCACCTTACTTTCACTAAGATTATGTATCATTTCATGTACTACTTTGCATTTTAATATAACTTTAAATTAGAGCATACTGACCTACTTCATTGGACAGAAGTCCTCTCTAATAAGGCTCCTTCAGATACATTGCTGTGTTAAGCAGCCTGTGCAAGTTCTGCTGCACACCAGAGTTGATGATACACTGTATTAAGTAGAAAGAGATATCTCCTTTGCAATATGTTTTTTTTTAACTGTTTGACTTAACTCACTGTGAAACATTTCAGTGTTGTCACAAACCACAGTCCTGCATTTCATAGTAAAATAATTATAAAATCACCCAAACCACAGCAGTGTGATGAAGGTTCACAGCAGCCACTCAACCATCTGTTCCTTATAAACTGTTCCATTTCAGAGAAGGAAGGAAACCAAGTGAAACAATTTAAAGAAGAGATGTTGCTTCATAGTTCTGTGGTATTTAAATTTTTATGTTGAAGTCTTCTCTTTCGCTGAATGGATTTAACTTTTTCTGGTTTGTGGGTTTTTTTGTTTTTGTTTTAGGGGTTTTGTTGTGGTTTTTTTTTTAACCTGCCCTTTAATTACCATTTAGAAGAACAACTTCCACGGAGAATGAAGGAAGCAGTGTAGTAGTGCAGGATGACAAATCAAGGAGGCAGGAGAGTAATGCATCCCAGGAAGCTGTCCTCAGAGTGCTCCGGCCCTTGGGCAGCTGTCAGGCAGTGAGGGTACCAACTCATTTCAAGCAAACACAGTTGATAGATTATTTAATAAAGAGTGGGAAAAGGAAGGTAGATACGTATGAGAAAAACTGGGTGAAAGAAAGAAAAGGCTGTGTTTCCTACTGTCTATTTTAATACTATTTCAGCCTGCTCTCTGTGGAGTTCAAACCATATCTAAGCGAATGAATAGCTGACCATGACAGATGAAGCACCCACTATGCCAAAGGCAGAAAAGAACAGTGGCCCAAACAAAATCTGTTTTCACTGCACGCTGTGATCTCTCAGGCTGCTTGCCGAGGAGCATGAAAGCAGCCTTACAGCAATCCTCCACATGCAGGCACCACTCCACAGGCCTGGCCAGGGAAAGCTGAAGTGTGGTTCTTTTGGCATTAGTCCAGACCACAGGCCTCTCATTACTTAAAGGACATTCAGAGAACATGGACGATCTGACAGAGTCACTGGGAACTGTGCTGTCCACAGAGAAATGTGAAAATGGCTGAGGTCTCCCTAGATCACGTAATTCAGACTGAGACCACCCTAGTCAGTGAAAGAACATGCTCTGTCTGATAACATCAGGACTTTATTTCCTTCCGGCCACTCACTTATTTCTCTGGTTTAGCGTTTAGAGAACTTTGTGTGTAAAATGAGACATATAATGGGTTCTGTGATGAGGATAATGCTTTCACCATTTCGGTTCTCTTCCAGTCGTGGCCCTTATGGTCGGAATAACGGATCCTTATCCTACAAGTCTGGAGCCAGCCCACCTGCTTCCCATGGAAAGGACCCTTCGTCAACACTGTGCAAAACCCATCTGAATCCTGCTAATATCCATCAGAGTTACAGGGCTTCTTCAGCCAGCAGCAGCAACTCAGGCTCATACAAAGGAAGCGACAGCAGCCCAGTGATGAGGTAAGTCTGTATTTCAGCCTCCCGGTGTTCATCGCGCTGACTTACCCTCTCTACACTGTAGTGTGGGATCAGCTGTAGGAGTTGTTGCGCAGATGACCTTGTTCCTCAGCATAGGTGTGATTCCTCTTATTGCTGGCTTGAGAGTCAACTTGGTGCTCCATACCATGTAAAAGCTTTATTGTTTCACCACTGTAAAATTCAAGTTTACTGTAAGTCCAAGCCCTTTGCAGTTGGTTTTCACTCCAAGGCAGGCTACTTCATGCGTTTTCATGTCATCAGTTCTCATGAGAATTTACTGGTTCTTTTGCTGTAGGGTTCTTTCACTTTGAAGAGAGTTGGGTGGGGTAGTACAGGAAATATGATACACTCGGGTGAAAATTCAGCCTGCCTCCCTAAGGAGTGCAGTTTCCTGTACAGGAAAGAGCACAGATACCTGCCAGAACACGTGACACGTATTGCAGAGAAGAAATTGCCACCATGCTGCTGCTGTTTCCCTCAGTCTCTCTATCAGACAACTTAACAGCCAAGCATGTCAGACACACACCTAAAGCTAGATGGGATGAATGTAGGTTTCAGCGTGCTCAGCTTCTTAACTCCTGTACAGAGCTGAACTCCTTGTGCTGCCTCTCCTGGCTGTGTCTGCAGCTGGGTGCCCTTGCCAGGGGCCGAGCTGTCTGCTCTTGGACACACCATCCATTTTGGGTGAAGGGATGGCTAGTTATTTTAAAGTCTTATTTGATGTAATGACACTGAAGCCAAGTACATATATAGTACATTTTGCGCTATAGCCTCAGATCTGCTGTTCATTCAAGTAATTTGATTTGCCAGAGGAGTCACTTGTATGGACACTGAGAAGCCCTAAATGAGTCAAGCTTTGCATTTATCAGTCAATGGGATGTTTTTCTTTCTGCGAAGACTTAAGAACTGTAGGAGTGATGTTATGTGATGGTTTGTTTGGGTTTTTTTTCAGGCGATCAGGGAGATACAATTCTTGTGGTGACAATCACAGCATTAAACCACAAAATCCAGAGCAGTATTTGACTCCTCTGCAGCAGAAAGAAGTGGCAGTACGGCATTTGAAAACCAAGCTGAAAGAATCTGAGAGCAAACTTAAAGAAAGGTAAACTTCACTTCAGAAATCAGTGTCGGAAAGATTTATTTGGGAACATTTGGGGGTGGGAGTCCTGAATGTTTTTACTCATTTCTTGATCACATAAAGTTTCCATTAAGAAATTTGAAATATGATCATTATGATTAGGTTGTTTTCAGGTGTTTCAAGTTTCATACCAAGCACTTCAGTTATAAATATAGCTGTCTCTTCTCCCTTTTTGGAACTTTCATAATTTAATATTTTCAAAGGATAACTTTTTACAAGTCTGATTTAGCACTGAGGCCTTTTATACATAGAACAGTTTCTACCTGCCAGCATATATTGCCTTAGTGTCCTGTTCTGCCTCTCTCAGTGAAATATGACTGTGAATGTTCCCCTCACACTCAAACCAGTGTGCCCGCTTGTATTTTTGTCGCTTATATACAGAATTTTTAACAATAACCTTTTGTATGGATGTTGACAAAGAAGTGACAATGTGCATTACACAGCAACAGATGTGTAAACAAAAACTGTGTAAACAAAAACTGCACTCTGAGAACTGGGTCTCCAGCACAGACAATCCAAGGGGGTACAAAGGGCAGTGTGAATGGAGGCCCAAGACAGAGTCCTCAGGATCCCATATGGTCCATCTCAGCATCTGCAAGGGCTGCAACTCAGATAGGGGCCCCCACACCCCACTTGCTTGCAGCAGGCTCTGGCTCCATGCTGGGAAAAGCAAGCCAGATGCCTGCAGCCGTGACCCACCTGGCTGTCTGAGGCCAGCATTGGCTCTGGCTGTACCTGAAAAGCTGCTGGCAGGCATGGTGGATGAGTCCCGGCAGCTGTTTCCCATTTCCTCTAGGGCGAGGCAGTAGGTGAGATGTTAAGCACTGCACTGGTTACACCTGACCTAGAGGTGACCACCTGTGCCTCAAAATGTCTGAGATGTGGCACAGCCCACAAAGCTGTTGGTTGTGTGGCAGGGCCAGTGACACTGATTAGCAATCAACCAGCATGTCCTGGCTCTCTCAGAGGTGGCTGCAAATAGCACCTGGAGGAATTTCCTTCCTTTTTGGAGCATCTCTGCAGCATAGCCATGCCTGTGTGATGAAGCCTCATGATGACTTCAACTGATCAGTCAGCAGAAGTGTTACAACATTTTTATTTTGCTACAGGGAAACAGAAATAGAAGAGCTTAAAGCTCAACTGGGACGGATGAGGGAAGACTGGATTGAGGAAGAGTGCAATCGTGTGGAGGCAGAGCTTGCCTTAAAGGAAGCAAGAAGTGAAATTAAACAACTCAAGCAGGTTATTGAAACCATGAAAAACAGCTTGGCTGAGAAGGACAAAAAAATTCAGAAATACTTCATAGACATAAACATTCAAAACAAGAAACTGGAATCTTTGCTGCAGAGCATGGAGATTGCTCAAAACCACTCTGTGAGGGATGAGCAGTGCCTGGAATACACATGCGACTCAGAGGGGAAGCCGTTAGCATTGTGTGCCACTGTGCCAGACAGCCTCATCCCAGAGGAAGAAACTCTGGAGGAAGTGGCAGACAGTGAGCTGCTTCTCAGTGAAGACAGAGCTCATGGGACTGACTCATCTGGAGGGAGTTTGACCACCACAACCTCCGAGTTGAGTGATCCTGCTCACTTCAGTGCTTCTGTAACTAAAGAAATGCTTGAAATCGTTCTGGACGGAAAACTAACTTACTGCCAGGAAGCAGAGAAAAGCAACAATATGATGGTGGAGCAGGCCATCCAGACTGACGTGGTGCCATATAGCCTAGATGTGGAGCAGCTCATTCAAAACATCTTCAGAGCTCAAGATACCTGCCCTCTAAGCCCACCTTCTTCACTGAAGGAATTGGGTGAATTTTCTCTTGAAAGCTTCAGTGATTCTGGTATCATAGTGGACTTAACTCCAAGTGATCCCAATTCTGCCATCCTTTTGTCTCCCATGGAGTCTCCATGCAGAAAAGTGGAGCACGGAGTTAATGAAAATCGTTTCATGAAAGAACTTGATTTTACAGAACCTCATGATGATGAAGGCTTTGAGTATGTCAATACAGGAATAAAGAGGAGATACTGGAGCAGCAGTCTCCTTGGAGATCTTCTGGCTGTAGCAGCCCCTGTTGTACCAACTATTGTGTGGGCTTTGAGTACTCAGAGAGGAGGAACAGATCCTATTTACAATATTGGAGCATTGCTTCGTGGTTGCTGCCTGGTGGCCCTGCACTCTTTACGCCGAACACCCTTCAATATCAAAACCTAAAGTCTACTCTGTCCCTGGGCACTAACTGGCTATGGCAGAGAGAAGGAGGGATGAAATAGATTATAAAAAGTTACTGTATATTCTGGCAGAGTCCATCATTTTGCTTTTGACTATTTGATTTGCACTATAAATCACTTCAAAAACATGTTCCTTGTTTCAAAATAAAAAAGATGAAGATGTTTTTAACAGATGTTTTTAACAGTACTGCTGCTTACAGAAATACTCCTCCTGCTCCCAGGCACGGATCCCTCCCCTATGCTGGTGTCTTTCTTGTGCCAGTGCATCTGCACAGTGAACATGACCAGGGAAATCAGGAGCTATAGCTAGTGCTCCTTATGTCCGATTGCTGAGTTAGCATTAAGCTCAGTCACTTTCTCTGGATGCTTCACTCAGCAGATGTACAAGCACTTTGCACTGGTTCAAGGATGGCGTGAGATGTGCACGGGGACAAATGGCCAGAGAAGGGTGGGGTATTTCTCTAAACAGCACTAACCTGAAACATCTGTGAAACTACAGTGTTAAGTAAGTGACATGGAGACTCACTCCCCGTAGGGTATCACACCTGTGCTCCTGAAAGCATGCTAGCGCTTTCCATTTGTTGTCCCAAGTGTCAATTCCACTTAGAGGTAAAACCCGTATTCCCCAGGCAGCTTCCAGCACATCGTTTGTGCCTGTCTTGTGTAGTGCTCTTCTCAATTGTGCAATTGCTTGAGCATTTCACTGGTCTTGTGCGTATACAGGGACTGTAACCAAAAATGTACACTGTTGGGAGTCTTCACACTTGTTACAATGGTAAGTATAGGCGTGGATACACTTTGACTCTTAATGTTGTTTTAAAGTCTTAATGTATTGGAACCGGATAGTCTTTTGAGCCCTTTGAAATACTATGTATAAATGTATTGTGTTTTAACTTATTGTTTATTTAATTGCTTAATTGTAAATTATCTTTATAATCACAAAATTAAGTAAAGCATGATAGAAATGTCAAACGTGTGAGAGTTTTACTGTAGCAAAGATATAAGAAAATAGCCCATCCCAGCTGAGCTGTCAGGTACAGCCTGAGCTGGAAGAAGTACTCTATCAGGTCCTGTAACAGTGAAACAGTTAGACTGAGGAAACCTGAGTACAGCTCCAAGTGTAAGCACTCAGCCAGGCTCATTAAAGGCTCCAGTCGGTCTGTAGATGCACACACCACACCCTCTGCCACCCGAGGCTGCATTCACAGATGTGACCTAATCTTTAACCCAATGCGATCAGCCAGAAACCTGGAACTTCTCATTGAGGCAATCCCAGGACAATATCAGTCTTTCTGGCATTTAATGGAGGTCCAGGAGGCCTCATTTAACCCAGCTGACAGTCATGCACTCTCAGTGTGCACACTGTGACCATCAAACTATTCTCCATGTCCAAAACCTGAGATCTGTGGATAGATCAGAGGAGGGGAACACTACCCAACAGATGAAACAGTGCGGTTTCTCTCACTCCAGCCAAGCTTTCAACACCACCTCTGGCTATTTAAACCTCACTGGCCTCCAGTTTTCCCCTTCAGCAAAACAAGGGTAGTATTTCCCTGTGCAACCCAGAGCAGAAGGGGTCCAGTGAAGCCTGACACTGAAGTACATTGCTCTGCAGCTTTTGGGAAGGGAGTTATGAGTAATTCACAAAGGAGTAATATAATTAATTGGCCAATGTACAGGGAGCATTTGCAACACTCAAGAGGGTGATATGCACTGACACTTACACAGGCAACTTGGGCACCTTTCATGTCCCTGTGATGCCTGGGTTGTGAATTATTATGTGTTTGCAACAGAGATTCCAGAGGCTTAATTAAGCATTACATTAATTAAGAGAAATCTAACAGATAATTTGATGTAAATAGTCAGTCCCCAAGAGTTCACAGAGATGGACATGAGAGCATCGTGCTTGCTTTGCCGTAACTTCCTCTTCCGTGCTCTCCCATCTTGGGTGCCTGCAGCCAGCTGGCTTGCCTTGTGACACTGCTGCAATGGATACTGCTCAAAGGTCACTTTCAAAAGCTTTTAAATTATATGGACTTAGAGTCAAAATTAATAGTTAGAGGGATTAATGTAAATTTTACACAACCATGGAAATTTTTAATTCCTAGATATCTCCTCTTGGGACTGAAACATATTACAGAAAATGCCTTATTATTCCTACTTCGAAGTATGTCTGTGCAAGGCCAAGAGAGCAGTATTTTATACATGATGTTACAATGTCGGACTTCTCTTTTACTGCCACTATTGTTTAAGTGATCTTCACTTTGAGGGATCGTGAAATGGAGCATAATTCAGAGGAAAAAGTAATCTTCAGTTCTAGGAGATGCATTCACCTGCAACTATGTGGGTTTCATTTGCAGCAAGAGGCAACAAAGCAGCACAAACCTACACTTAAAAATGTCAATAGGCCAAACTAATTTCAAACCATGTTTTGGGCAGGCTACATTTAGCAGTAATGTTTTTAAATGTTTTTAAGTGTTTTTAAATGCGCTGTTTAAGACATAAGACTAACACCAGCATAACATCAAAGCTTCTTCCCGTCTTTAAATATCTTTCAGTCTGCTCAGCTCTCATAAGGCATTTAACTGCACTCAGCAAGAGGTGACAGAATTCCCAACATTCCTGGTAAAAAGTCCTTGCTCTGATCTCTATCCAAAATTCAGCTCGCATCCAAACCTCCACCTTTCCTCCTCCGGCTTCAGGGATGTAGACAGCTTAAGGAGCCCTTTGTAAGAAGAGGCCTAAAAGTACCATAATAAATGCTCCAGTCCCAGACTTCAGGGAAAAACTGGGCTTTGTTCCACAATCTATAGAGGATATGCCAATTGTTAAAAACACACCATCCTAATTTTTTTCCCCTCTAATATTACACTTTAGTCTTAGTCATGTCTCACCTGGATCCCGCTGGTGTTGTACAGAGTAGCTAGGAGAGGACAGCAGCCTCCAAGCACTTCAATAAAAACTCCCATCTTTTTTTCTGAGTTTAGAAGATGCTCATACCCACACCTGTTCACACCAGAAGTCTTGTCTCAAAATGTGCAGGTGGGGATGACACGCAGCACACAGGTTAAGGGTAAAATAGCAGATGTGTTATTGAATTCAGGCTTATAGCACAGGAACCAAGTCAGTTCCTTCCCAGGCTGAAGGGACATCTATTTATAATCCCAATAAACACTTTCTTTCTAACCCAGGAACAAAAAAAGCCTTTCTTTAATATGCACCTCAAGAGGTACCCAACATGCCCCTAAGCTGCTGAAAGCTGAGACTCAAGCAGTAACCCCCTTGCCACCAGAGATTCACCTGTACCCTTCACAGAATCATAGAATGGGTAAGGTGGAAAGTGAGAGAAAAGGAAGAACCTATGGCAGCAGGAGGGAAAGAAAACAAGTGTACATAGTGGGTGTACAGATCCCTCAAGGAAACCAAACCAATGGAAAAGACAGCACAGCAGCTTCACAATAAGTTTACCAAAAGTATTCTCATGTTTGTTGAGGATAAAAATCAAGATATAGGAAGAAGGAAAGAAGAGAGAGCACAGAAAAAAGATGAAACAGATAACAACACATGGCTTGTTACCGTGGAAGAGACTTCCTCTGAGACCAGTGCCCTCCCTCATGTCAGCACAGAGCAGAAATGGGAGGAATCTCTAGAGCAGCTATGCTTAAGTATGGGAAAGTAGACAAAAGAACAGCAAAGCAGTAACAGCAGAAGGGAAAAGCAATGCAGGAGGACTGACATGCAGAAAGGTGGCAGCACCCAAAGGTTTTTAAAACGGCTGAAGGCTCAAAAATCAGATGTGCTTACATGATGTATTCAGGGGTTTTGTTTGCAACTTATTAACTAGCTCATCTGTTGCTATTTTTAATAAATAGTATTGATTTGCATCTACTTTACATTGTCTCAAAAATAGCGCTATTTTTTTAAAAATGAGATGCAGCTTCCAACACGTGTCACCTTAAACAGGCAGCAGATAAGTCAGTTTTCTTGCCCTGTGTCAGCAATAGTGAAAGAATTATGACTGGTACCTCCTTGCTTCTTCAGTGGTCTTAAAAGGACAAACACAGATCGTTACTGAAGTTTATTCATAAACTTCCTCATCTCCTATCCACTGTCAAATACTTTGGAGGTGTGTAGTGGGAGCAGATTTACTTGCCATACTGCTGTTTAGTCTGCATTGAAGTAACTCATTCTACTCCAGCCAGAACACTTGTGCAGAAAATACGCACAGCAGTGTTGCCTTCTAAATATATTCTAAAATTTAACATCTGAAAATTGCTGTCAAATCACTCAACTTGTGCAAGATTTAAAGCTACATGACAAGCATACAAAACATTTTTGAAAACTTTTCTCCATGACTGAGGCCATTAAAAGTAATTCTTACTATCTTGTTTTCTCAATCACTTATTTCTTAAGCAAAACTTGTGCCAGAACCCACTACAACTTAGTTAAAAATTCTATTTGTCTAGGCAGGTAAGATCTAGTCACATGGCCCCCTATCCCTTCCCATTCTCTTAGAACTTCACTGTTCCCTGCAGGCACAGGAAAAAATTCTCAGGCACAGAATGTGCTAACTTCACTCCTCTATCACAAGGTAAGTAATCCATACAACCCATGAATTCAGGATAGTAGTATCTGCACAACAGTGGAAAAGGCATCCACCAAAGTACTGGGCTGGACACAGAGCCCCCTCCTCCTACACACTTCTTTCCAGCAGACATTGAACTTCTCTTCTTCACTAAAGCACTGTTGCCTTCTGCTGCACATTTACCATGCATACTTTACCCGGGAATTCTACTGTAAATACATACAGTAAGTGTACAAAAAAATGGAATTTGAAGTGCTTGTAATTGAACTTTCACACTAGCATTTTTAACAGCAGGACATGATTTTTTTTCTCAACTACACTACCTATGCAATGAGTGTAAGGGGTGAAGATTTTTTTCCTTAATGTAGGAAGTATAAGAATTTCTGCCAGAAATACAAATTTACCAACACAAGTGTTTAAAACACTCCCTTACATTCACATCAGCCTTTATAAAAAAGGTGCACCACTCTTGTATATTGATGCCACTGCTGGTAGCCATTGCATTGTCACATGTAAATGAACAAGGGAGCACAGGAAGCTGCAAGTGACAGTGACAAGAAATCCACT